GATATCAAATAATGATGAATCTCAGAAAGAAGAGGCTATTTTTCTGTGCTTGGTTAAATAATGGGTGGTGTCTGCTTGATTAATTTCATCAGCTAGCTGAGATCAAATTGTGACGCCAATGATGCAGTATTCAACATTATCCTGTAAAAACCTTGTGACGTCTGTGATTACATTTCTGAAGACATAGTCCTTCTGACAGGCAAACTAGCCCAGTTTTTTGATTCTGAAATATAACTGAAGTAGTGCCCTGGTGCATGGATTTGTGCAGATTAAAAGGAAGTTAATTAGAAGGTGGACGGAGGGGCAGGACTGGGCGAGATGGGCCAGACACGCCCTGGAGCCAACCTCCGGTGGTTCCCCCTGGCCAGCTGCACCTGGGGTGGTGCTGTGGCTCGAAGGGCATCTGCAGAGTGAATTTGGTCCCTTGGCCTGGCCTGTGGAGGGCCAAAACTGGCAGCCTGACATCCCTGAGGGGTCTCAGAGTGCGAGAGGGCACTCTGCAAAGATGCTGTCGCTCGGCAGCTCCTGTGTGGAGCGTCTTCCCCCTAATGGTCAGTGCGCATACTAGCTGGTTGACTGGTTGCTTAGCCTTTTATATATATAGACTAATGTTGTAAATGCTTCCCTCCACGTCCCGTGTGGTTCAGGGTTCAGGATCTGGAAGAGGAGCCGCTCACAAATGAAAGAGAAGAGACAAGAGATAATTTGGAAATATTGGGGTGCCGGGGTCCAGGCCCAGTGGTCCAGGGGTTCCCAAAGGTGTGGACGGAGTCAGCGAAGAATGTTTTACACATAGACAGTGTTCAGAACTCTCTAGCTCTCTTTGGTCTCCGTGGATCTTCCTGTGCCTGGCTGAGGCCACAGAGAGAGATCCCGAGGCAAACTGAGCCTTTATTTTATAGTCAGAGGTAAACAAGGTAGTGGTTACCATAGTTACACAGTTCTTGTGAGTTTCACTTGTTTTGGCCACTTTCTGCACTTCCCTCAGTCCATTCGCTTCCCAGATAAGATCTGGGGAGCGTTATAAGGTCAAGCCTAATTATGCTAAGAGGACTGTGCCCTCTAAGCTGGGACTTGTTTGTGACTTTGCCAACAGGTCAGTCCGAGGCTTAAGCCTATATTGGCTCCTCACATCTCACCCTTCTTTTTATTATTAAGCTACTATAATGAAAGTTAAACCCAAGCATCAAGAACAAAAAGCTACCATAATGAGAGTAAAACTTAAGCATCAAGAACAAAAAATGTTTAAGTCCCAATTTCAATGTCCAACAGTTCTGAGTCCAAGTTTCAATGTCCGACAGTTCCTTATGTGTACATGTCAGCAATGATATTTCAGTTCTGGATGGTGGACAAATGGTGGCAATGCAGATCCGACCTTCTCTGGTTTGATCCTGGGCAACCTGCAGCGATGCACAGCTGCTGACTGCTAGCATGGCAAAGCGTCCTCAGCGTCTTCCATCTCTGGATTGTTTTTCCTCTTCATGGTTAGAGCATTCCTGATAATTCCTCTCTGTTGCAGGAATCCACATGGTCTTGGAGTTGTTTTCTGAAAATATACAAACATATTCTCGACCAAAAGTTAATAAAGGAAATTTTACTTGGGATCCTTTTTATATTTGCCCAAATGATTTTCCTTTGGCTTATTTTGACACCATGTATGTTTTTCATGGGTGTCTTGCTGTTAGCATTACAAATGGAAAACAAATTTTTTCTAGATGTAAATTAGTTACATGATATTTTTCCTTACATGGTATTTTTCTACTATTCCCCCTTTTTTGATTTAATTATTAGGAGGCTTTTGGAAAAATTTTTATTTTTTAACTAAAGAACATTCATTTGTTTTCCACTAAGACTTTATCTTAGCACATAATTAAACTGTCACTACCCTCCACCCCAACTTGAAGAAGGGTTAGTACAGTGAATGTTATAAAGCAGATATGAAGGATTGGAATCAACATTAACTGACAAAGAAAAACTTCTTTTTTTTTTTTTAGTAAATCTTTATTGTTCAGATTATTATATTTGTTCCTCTTTTTTCCCCCCCATAGCTCCCCTCCACCCAGTTCCTACCCCACCCTCTGCCCTTACCCCCCCACTGTCCTCGTCCCTAGGTGCACAATTTTTGTCCAGTCTCTTCCCGCATCTCCCACATCCCTTTCCCCACCAAGAATAGTCAGTACATTCCCTTTCTATGTCCCTGATTCTATTATAATCACCAGTTCATTCTGTTCATCAGATTATTTATTTACTTGATTCTTAGATTCACTTGTTGATAGATGCATATTTGTTGTTCATAATTAGTATCTTTACCTTTTTCTTCTTCCTCTTCTTAAAGGATACCTTTCAGCATTTCATATAATCCTGGTTTGGTGGTGATGAACTCCTTTAGCTTTTCCTTATCTGTGAAGCTCTTTATCTGGCCTTCAATTCTGAATGATAGCTTTGCTGGATAAAGTAATCTTGGTTGTAGGTTCTTGGTATTCATCACTTTGAATATTTTTTGCCACTCCCTTCTGGCCTGCAAAGTTTCTGTTGAGAAATCAGCTGACAGTCGTATGGGTATCCCCTTGTAGGTAACTGGGTTTCTTTCTCTTGCTGCTTTTAAGATTCTCTCTTTGTCTTTTGCTCTTGGCATTTTAATTATGATGTGTCTTGGTGTGGTCCTCTTTGGATTCCTTTTGTTTGGGGTTCTCTGCGCTTCCTGGACTTGTAAGTCTATTTCTTTCACCAGATAGGGGAAGTTTTCTGTCATTATTTCTTCAAATAGGTTTTCAATATCTTGCTCTCTCTCATCTTCTGGCACCCCTATAATTCTGATGTTGGTACGCTTGAAGTTGTCCCAGAGTCTCCTTACACTATCTTCGTATTTTCGGATTCTTTTTTCATTTTGCTCTTCTGGTTGGGTGTTTTTTGCTTCTTCGCATTTCAAATCTTTGCCTTAATTCTTGCGGTCCTCTGGTCTGCTGTTGGGAGTCTGTATAATATTCGTTATTTCAGTCCATGTATGCTTAATTTCTATTTGTTTCTTTTTTTTTTTTTGAAGTCCACTTTTTTTAATGTACAAAAACGTATGAGTAGAAACAAAAGCAAATTAAACATTATCACATATGTTTACACCGCTATCTAGGTTCTTCATATCAATGTTACTATTCAAACAATAGGAAGCAGGTGGCAATTTAGAGGGTGGGAAAGAGATAAAACAAAAAACTTCTTCTACCATGTTTTTTCTCGACTGTGCAGAGCTGTGCTCACAGAGACGGCTTCTTTTACTTCTCCACTGTGCAGAAATTCAGTTGTATATAAAATTGAACCTGCTCAGAAGCTGAGGGAGACTAGAAATGATGGGTCCATATCCGCGTGCGTTGTCATACAATTCAAACAACAGTGCGGCTACCAGCTTGTAATTTTTAGGGACTGCGAACAAGGCTTTCTCTTGAAGTTGAACCAAAAACAACTTCTTATGTTCCTTCGGTTTTGTAATATGTGCAGGAATATATGGATACTGAGGAGGTTCAAATTTGGTCTCCACCAGTTACTAATGCAGTCATCAATGACCCAGTCTTGCAGGACTCCATCTTGACGACCTCGTATCTCTGTCATTAAGCGTTTTAGTCCTTCAGCTTCGTCTTCTCCTGGGTTAAGTTCACCACCCGGTAGTTTGAAGAAAGTTGTTCCCAGCTGTAGCAGTAGCACATGGGGTAGTCGGTGCTCATGTACAATCAGAACCCCTTCTACAGTCCTCCTCATTCCAATTTTATCAAATTCCTCCCTCATGCGTTGAAATCTGGCTGCAACAGAGCTGTCCTTCTCATATAGGGGCTCTTTTGTACCAAAAGTATAATTGGTAAGAGGGTACAGGTTGATGGTGCGCTCCAAGGTGAGGGGCTTGGTCTGCTGGATGTACTTGTTGCCGAACTGGTTGATCCCCCGCGGCCAGCCGGTTTGCGAGCAATTGGGCGGCACCACGTACATGCTGGCGAGGACTGGTGGCGAGCGGAAAGCGGGGAGAGGCAGGGAGACTTCCCCGGTGCAGGCAGCGGTTGTTGGCGTCCCACTCAGCAGCCGCGGCCCGCTATTAACGTGAAAGCGCTAGAGCTCTAGTTGGTTCTTTATCACAACATCGAGGGTCTCATTAGATTTCTTGAGGATCTCAATAACTTTATCGGCGGCTTCTAGACAGTTCTTGAGAGACCTTAAAAGTGTGGTTCTGAACTCAATATCCTCCATTGACAGTTTTGTCCTGTTTCTTTGTCTCCGCATTTTTTATGCTTTCTTGGTGCACCCCCTAGTGGTCTTTGTGTGCAGTCTTGTTGTAGTTAAGCCTTGATTGTTGTAGTTAATACTAGGGGGATTTGACCTCCAGGCCAACTAGCTGTGAGAATCAGCTGTGTCTGCAGTGGGAAAACTTCTGTCTTCTAGGGAGGTGCTAATCTAGCCTTTGCCTGAGGCTATCTGGCAAATGGCTCTGGGCAGGGCTTGGGCGGGGCGGGTCGCACTGGATCAACAGAGCGGGTGGAGGGAGCAGTTATGGCTGCTCTCAGTCCCGTCCCCAGAGGCTCTGCCTCTCAGAGTCCCAGCAACCACTGCAAACCTTGGAGAGAAAGCTGCCCTCGCGTTCCGACCGATGCCAGACAGTCCCGCTTCTCCTGTTTGAGTCTGGGTCCCTAGAGACTCGCCCAGAACTGGAGCTCAGAATCTGAGCCTCCCTCCCAATTGAAAACAACAACCGCGCCCTCAGCTACCAGCCCGCTCAGCGCGTACCTCTGCACCTTTGTATTTTCCGCACTGCGCCTCCTCTGAGTCTTGTATGCTGTTCTCTTTCCTTCTAGTTGAAGATTTTCCCCTCAGCCAGTCTTCCTCTGGTTCTGGGCAATGTCCGTTCCGTCTTTTAGTTGTATTTGTGAAGTGGTTGTTCGAGGCAGCTAACTCCGGTGTTTACCTATGCCGCCATCCAGAAAAACTTCTTAGTTAAGTCATCATAACAATGTTTAAGTAAAAAAGAAAAAAGGGGGTGATGGGAGTTCAGATTGAACAAGATCCTCACATATCATCTAACACATTCAATCCTGGCTAGAGTGTACCAAAATGGAAACAGGATTACTATAATACAAAACTTCACTACAGACAGCTGTACACACCTGTGTTCCAAGCCCACCCCCAACCCCCAAATGCTTCCAACACAACTATTTCCCGGCCTGTTGGGCCTGTCGACGAAGGAGCATGTAGATCTTCTCTTTAATCCAATCTTTGTTATAAGGCTGGTAAGTCTGGGTATCAGCTCGGTAAACAAGACAGCTGTAGTCCACCAGATCATCAATAAAATCAAACAGCTGGCTGATATCATATGTGATAGAGGGGCTGTTGGGATTCATTCTCTTCAGATGTTCTTCATACATTTTACAAACGCCTTCCATGCACTCATTCACTGATTCATAATCAGCGTAAGTTCTGCCTTCTGGTCTCTTGGTAGGCTGTACCAGCAAAATGGTGTGAGACATCGCGCCAAACTCTTTCACTGCAGCCGCCGCCGACACTCTGCCACACACGAGCTTAACCACAATGCCGCCAACAGCCCTGGAAAAATTTTTATAATGTAGTCTAGATACCTTTAAATTTTTAATTTTTTTTGCACAAAAATACGACTGCTTTAGGTTCATTGCATGTTAAGCAATTTTACCATGAAATGAAAATTTTGGTTAATAGTATGTATTTCAATTAAACTCGTTACTGTCAAATTTAATACTCTAACAACAATCTTAGTTTACACTGTAAATATTAATGGAAAGGATTATTTTGCATCCTTGAGAAGGCCCTGAGCATTCCTGGTGTTAGGCTGGATTTAGATATAGGGTAGCTGCTGTCAGCCAAGTCTCTGTTGTCTGGAGCTGATCGTGGGCTTTGTGTGCGGTGAAATATCTCCCACCTTTACGGTGAATTCTTCCCCACCTTTATGGTGAAACTTCGTTTTTTTACTCTAGGCGAAGCCTTCACTTCCAGATTTCCCATCGGGCGCCAGATGTTGTAAATGCTTCCCTCCACGTCCTGCGTGGTTCAGGGTTCAGGATCTGGAAGAGGAGCCGCACACAAATGAAAGAGAAAAGACGAGATAATTTGGAAATATTGGGGTGCCAGGGTCCAGGCCCAGTGGTCCAGGGGTTCTCAAAGGTGTGGACGGAGTCGGCGAAGAATGTTTTACGCAGAGACAGTGTTCAGAACTCTCTAGCTCTCTTTGGTCTCCGTGGATCTTCCTGTGCCTGGCTGAGGCCACAGAGAGAGATCCCGAGGCAAACTGAGCCTTTATTTTATAGTCAGAGGTAAACAAGGTAGTGGTTTCCATAGTTACACTGTTCTTGTGAGTTTCACTTGTTTTGGCCACTTTCTGCACTTCCCTCAGTCCATTAGCTTCCCAGATAAGATTTGGGGAGCGTTATGAGGTCAAGCCTAATTATGCTAAGAGGACTGTGCCCTCTAAGCTGGGACTTGTTTGTGACTTTGCCAACAGGTCAGTCCAAGGCTTAATCCTATATTGGCTCCCCACAGACTAGAGGTGGAGTCCCTCAGCCTGGCCTGTGGGGGTTGGGCTAAAACCGGCTCTCTGATATCCTGAGGGGTCCCAGATTGCGAGAGGGCACAAGCCATGCTGAGGGACCCCACTGGTGCATGCATTTGTGCATTAGGCCTCTGACATCCCATGATGGGTCTAGGGTGCAGGTGAAGCAGATTCGGGGCCCACAGTTCCCCAGCAGCAACCTTACCCATGGCTGATTCTGTGAGGAATCGGGCTCCCTCCTCTACTGGTCAGAGTGTCTGCTCCCTGGTGGTCATTGCACGTCATAGCTACTGGGCAAATGGTCGAACAGTCGGATAGTTGCTTAGTCTTTTATATATATAGACTACAGGCCCGGTGCATGAAAATTCGTGCATGAATAGGCCTTCCTTCCCCTGGCTGCCAGCACCGGCTTCCCTCTGGCATCTGGGACCTGGGCTTCCCTCCTGTCTGCTGGCAGACACCCGGTACCTGGGCTGCTTCCCTCCTCCAGCCGCCAGCAGGCACCCAGGACCCGTGCTGGCTTCCCTCTGGCCCTGGCTTCATCAGGGAGGACATCCGGAATGATGTCCAGAGGACGGCCGGTCTAATTAGCATTTTACCCTTTTATTATTATAGACTAGAGGCCCCGTTGCATGAAGAGATTCATGCAATAGGCCTTCTCTTCCCCTGGCTGCCAGCACCAGTTTTCCTCCAGCACCCAGGACCCAGGCTCACTCCAGCCAGGGCCTTCAGTCTTCGCTCCACTGCTTTGTGCCTATGTATGCAAATTAACCGCCATCTTTGTTGGGTTAATTTGCATACTCTCCTGATTGGCTGGTGAGCGTAGCGGAGGGATGGTCAGTTTACATGTTTGTCTATTATTAGGTAAGATAATTGCTTGTGTCACTGAAGTAGCCAACTTTGGCCGAGAGGGAAGGTAGTTGAGCACATAGTTCCAAAATCTATTTTGTTGTTCCACTGGTGGAGGATTGTTTCTGCGTGATACAAGCTTTGTGAGGCTTATACCTGCCAATAACTGGGAATATGATCAACTCCCTCTTTTGAGGAGTAGCTCACACTTGTTTAGGAAATCAGGGCTGTTGGTGAATTCAGCCAAGCCTTTCTCTGCCTGGAGTGGAGTGGTTGTATCTGTGGTTTCATACGGCTGTTTGCACAGATTCTCTAGCTGCACCAGGCTCTGTACATGATCCACCATTTTGCTCTACAGGATCCTTCAAGGTGGTGCCCTAGTTGTTTTGACACAATGCCAGGATTATTATAGTTTCTTTGCTTCCTGACATAAAAAGATGATGCAGGCTTCTCTTTATATATTGTCTGATCTTGCTCTTTCTCCAAAAAGTCCTTGTTCCTTTTAGTGGGAAATGGTATTTAGAGATCACATTCTGGGTCCTTGGGAGGGGGGTGCTCATTATGATTGGGCAAATCTTTCTTATTTAATAGTATATTCTTCTTACCAATGATTAAGATAATACGTAATCATTTGGAAGATACAAAAATAACAGAGACCATCTCTTTATACTTTGATCTACCTCACATAGGTGGAATCATATGGTTACTTGTCTTTTAAAAGTATATTTTATTATTGACTAGAGGCCCAATGCACAAAATTTGTGCACTGGATTCTGCCCTCACAGCTCCTCGCAGTCTCAGCTGGCCCTTGTAGCCCTGGCTTCATCAGAAGGTTGTGTGGGCAGTCATTCTGCTGTTCTGTCTAATTAGCATATTAGCTTTTTATTATATAGGATTTCAGAGAGAAAGGGAGAGGAAGAAAGAGATAGAAACATCAAAGATGAGAATCATCAATCGGCTGCTTCCTGTACTCCCCACATTGGGGATCGAGCCTGTAACCCAGGCATGTGCCCTGACCAAGAATCAAAACTGTGACCTCCTAGTTCATAGGTTGACACTCAACCACTGGGCCACACTGTCCATGCTGGTTATTTGTCTTTTTTTAACTAGCTTACTTAACTGAACAGTGTCTCAGGGGTCATTCTCATTGCAGCATGTATCAGAGTCTCCTTCCTTTTAAAGGCTGAATAATATTTCATTGTATGCACAGACCACATTTTGTTTTTTCATTCTTCTCTTAATGGACACTTGGGTTGCTTCCTCCTTTGGACTTTGTGAATAATGAATGCTGCTGTGGAAATGAGGGTGCAGATTTCTGAGATAATGGTCTCAGTACTTGTGTATTTTTACAGTTTACTTTAGTATTTTGCTTGGTTATTTAGCATTACAAAAATCTTACATAGATAAATACTTGGCAATAGTTTGTAATATCTTGCCATAGAGTCTTATGACTCATCTGAATGTCAGCTCATCTAGAGTCCTGTAAGAGGAATTTTGAGACACTTAGTTCCAAAGTTAATTATTAGGAAAACCTAAGAAGCTGTTCTTTTTAACCACTAAGTGTACAACTTGGATAGTTAGTGAGTTTCTAGCCAGTTAAAATCTATCTGATGGCACAATTTCTGATATTGTTCAAAGGAGTCTTTGACCTTTCAATGTCCTTTTGTTCTAACATGTTCCTAAACTTTCAAAACAATGAAGTAGTTTTGTTCTTGTTGAAGAGTCTATTTTGTTTCAGTTGACATTTATTTTCAGTTTTTTAACTTGGTAATAGTGTAACTCTATTGCTAACCTAATTTGCTGGACTTATTAAATATCCATTTAATAAATGTTGGACTTTGGGTGGTAAACACACAATACAATATACAGATCACATATAGAATAGTACACTTGAAAGCTATATACATTTTATTAACCAATGTCACGCCTATAAATTCAATAAAAATTAAAAAACAAGAACAATCTGGCCAGTGTGGCTCAAAGGTTGAGCATTGAACCAGAATGTCAGGGTTCGATTCCCAGTCAGGACACATGCTGGGGTTGCAGGCTTGATCCCCAGTAGGGGGCATGCAGAAGGCAGTCAATCAATTTTTCTCTCATCATTGATGTTTCTCTCTCCATTCCTCTCTCTGAAATCATTAAAATCTATACTAATAATAGCCTAGGGCTGTCACGACTGGCTGGACGATCAAAGAGCAGGGGGGTCCGCAGTGGGGGCAGGGCTGTGGCAGATGTCTCTCCGCACGCCTGTGCCGGGGGTCTGGTTCAAGTCCCTGATTGTGAGAGGGTGAGTGAGAATGACATAGGCTAAGGGACCAGCAGGGGGTAAGTGGGGGTGGAGTCAATCTTGGATGAGCAGGGAGGTGAGGCTGCACAGAGGGAAGAGCCCTGCCCAGGAGGCCTGTGGTCTGGGTATGGCAGCCATAGGAGGGATTAGTCCTGGGGATGACACAGGACTTTGGTGTTGTAGAAAGAATAACTTAAGCCATCGAAGATCAAACTGTACACCCCAAATGCTTTTTCTTGGATGGTCCAGGTGGTAGTGGGAAAACATCTATTTATATAAAAACCCCGGGTGTTCGCCCATCACGTCTGAGGCTCGACCAACCTGAAGGAAGTCAGTCCTGCAGGTGTCGCCTTAGCAACTGCTTCGCCCTCCCCAAGCTGTTTCCGGTAATGGCAAGGTTTGAGGCAGGAACCGGCCCTTGGAGGGTGGATGCACTGAGTTCTGGGTCGCCTAGCCAAGGGCTGTGCCCTCCCCACCTGTTTCCTGCAAGGGTGAGGTTTGAGGCAGGAACCCGCCCCTGGAGCATGGACGCACTGAGTCCTGGGTCGTCTTGCCAAGGACTGCGCCCTCCCTGAGCTGTTTCCCACGAGGCCTGAGGGAAGAACCCACCCTTGGAGTGCCAGGAGCCCCCAGCGGCAATCAGTCCTGAGTTGCCAAGGCAGAGGCCATGCCGTGGTAGAACTCTGGGTCTGGCCCAACAGGGGGCATGGCCAGCCTTCAAACCAGACCCTGACAGGAGGGAGGAGAGAGCCCCATTCCTCATGGAATCGACAGGTGGCCAGCTTGCTATCAGGGACCTGCCAGCTAGGAATCCTATTCACCTGCATATCTGTATAAAGTTTTAATAGATTATATTAGAGGTTTTGGT